AAATTAGTCACATGACTGTTCAGTACATGGAGGGTAGGAGGCTGTACTGATGATTCTCGCTCCTACCCACATGCAAAAAGTTCGGCTTGTGTTTACAGCTAATGGATGAAACACAGACAGACTGCATTGTAAAATGTCTTATACATGACACTTAAGTCCAATCCCTCTATTCTACTAGTTCATCCATCGCGATGTTTTCGAGTAACGAAACATTTTGGTTGTTAGTTTGCAAAACTCGTGGGAACTTTGCAGGTGTACTGGAAAATATGGCCGAAACATCATCAGCGAATTCCCTTCGCTTCAAAAAGGTATACTTTAAAAGTTAGCTGAGAATTTTAAAAGGTCAAAAAACGACCATCCAAGGGAAAGACTTCGATATTTGCATCAGCTCTGAAGCAAAATCGGCAATTACTTTGACCAGTGGTCAGTTTGCCGGCCTGGTCACTTGATGGTCAACCTGCTGATGATTTCTGGCTTGTACTGTCTGTGTTTACAGCTTAGGGATAAAACATAGTCAGCCCCTTCTTTTAACATACTACTCTTCACATGATCCTTCTACATAACAAACGGTTTACATACATTTCCCACATAACAATGTTCTCAAACTTTCGCCCTTTTCGAATTTTATTGGTCTGTTGCCTCCGGCCGGACCAGCGAATGTTCCCAGTTCATCTACAACTTAAATTTATCAAATTCAGCCACCCGTTATGCTTGGTTTACCTTCTAACTCTCCCCTTACTCCGTCCTTGGTTTCCCATTCATATGATGCGGTTAGGGCCTGTACTGTCTTTTTCTAAAGAAATGGTAAATTGCGGCCATTAGAGGGCCAAATCGTAACCTTAAAAGAAGTGGACGGACCAAAAAAAATCAAAATTTGGCAAGATTTTAGTCGTTTCGAGTTGTCCTTGGTGTATGTTGAGCATCACTATCTCTTTCAGAACTTTACCCCTTTAGGACACGATAATTTACGTTACTGTGGAAAAAAAAATTATCTCACATTTCTTGTAGGCTTGTTAAATGTAGATCGGTGTTTCATCAAGTAAGGGTTTTGAAGCT